ATAGGGTGGTTGTGTACACACACTGCCAACACACATTTCAGTTCAAACAACTTGTAAAAGTGCATGTAGCATCCTATGACCCCTTTAAAATGCATAAAAGTAAAGAAATCAGGGTAGAAATACACTATTGCATAATAATATTCTTGAATATACTATTACTACTAGTACTGCTACTAAAAAAAAAAGAAAAAGAAAAAAAAAACCTGACCAAAAAGTAAAAATATATTAATTAATAGTATTTAAATACTTAAAATATTTTAATATTTAGAATATTCATATTCATTTATTTTTACCTTGTTAATATTTCCAGCATCTTCACCTCCAAGATCGTCTGAGACCAGCCACCCGGACAGCTGCTGCAACAATCGGTTTGCATAACCAAATAATTTCTGTACAAACTGTAAGAAACCGTTTCAGGGAAGCTCATCTGCATGCTAGTCATCCTCATTGGGGTCTCGACCTGACTGGATTTCGTCATCGTAACCGACTTGTGTACATAGAAAAAGTCTTAGATCTTTGAGTTCAGCTAATGAAAAATGGCGGCAAAAACAAAAGTGTTTATAATTTTGTTCAGTGTAGAAACTTTCATCTCATGAAAATCAAACGCATGAAAATGAAGTATTTTCACTTTAGTTATAGGCCATTCACTGTTCTCTATTCCCAGACACTAAAGGGGGGTCACACACCAGACGAGAAACCCAGCACTGCGTCGAAGCACATCTTTAAAATTTTGCCAATTTGGTGATTAGATGAAGTGTTTTGGATTGCCGTCTTGAACTGAACGTGAAGTGTCCGGTGTGTGATACCTGTGAGCTGTCCTAGTGTGCGACCATCTTAACTCTACTGCGCATTTAGTGTAAATAGCATATTGCTAAAAATACTGCTATTTTCACTTAGTGTAAATAGAATCCATTGCTAATACGAGATTTGAAAAGAGAGGGAAAAAAAGTTCGGCAAAAGGTGGGATTGAATCCAGGTCGATCGCGTCAAATAGTCGACAACACGAGCTTATCCATCTGCACCACTGGAGCTGATTATGTACAGCTGCTTTTAAAGTGTTGACTAGCCCAATCACACGTTGGAGAGCAGAATTACTGCCAACAAGGCGGGCTATTTGCACTAAGTGTAAATAGACACTCCGCATTTTTTATTCCATAGTAAGGGCAATTCATACAATACATTTAAACTGAGCTACTTTAATAACTTTCTACCATGACTCTGCTGTTCTTCGGCTGGTTCTTCCTGTATACATTGATTGACAGATGTCTCGTCCAGTCAGCGGTGAGTAATCCCAAACCAATGGCCCTGTCTCAAACTATACCTACCTCTTCCGGTTTGTCTGATTTGTCGTTGTGTTTTCTGACTTGAAATGTCAGATCTTTTAATGAACGGTTCAAAAAGGTTTGAAACTGGTTTGAATCAGTCTGAAACACTGCCCTTTATAATTTACATTCATAAAGTACATTCTTTCATACACTACCTTTCAGAAGTTTAGGGTTGGTAAGATGTTTTCATCTTATGCTCACCAATTCTGCATGTATTTGATAAAAAATACAGTAAAAACAATAATATTGTGAAATATTACTCAAATTTAAAATAACTGTTTTCTATTTTAATATATATTATGCAATTTATTCCTGTAATGTAAAGCTGAATTTTTAGCAGTCATTACTGAAGTCTTCAGTGTCACATGATCCTTCTCAAATCATTCTAATATGCTAATTTCCTACTCAAGTAACATTTTCTTCTTATTATTATTAATATAAATATAAAAATTAATGCAATAACGTATTGAGTGTAAATTATAATTTTAATTTTAATTATTAAATGGATGCCACCTTATTGGTACAATAAAGCCCTCCCTACACCTACCCTAACCCTACCCGATGCTTTATTTCAACTTTTTGATTATTTCCTTAATTTTTATTGAAAATAAATGCCTTTACGATGTGATACGAGATTTGAAAAGGGGGAAAAAAAAGTTCGGCAAAAGGTGGGATCGAATCCAGGTCGATCGCGTCAAAAAGCCGACAACACGAGCTTATCCATCTGCGCCACTGGAGCCAATTATGTACAGCTGCTTTTAAAGTGTTGACTAGCCCAATCACACGTTGGAGAGCGGAATTACTGCCAACAAGGCGGGCTATTTGCACTAAGTGTAAATAGACACTCTGCATTTTTTATTCCATAGTAAGGGCAATTCATACAATACATTTAAACTGAGCTACTTTAATACCTTTCTACCATGACTCTGCTGTTCTTCGGCTGGTTCTTCCTGTATACATTGATTGACAGATGTCTCGTCCAGTCAGCGGTGAGTAATCCCAAACCAATGGCCCTGTCTCAAACTATACCTACCTCTTCCGGTTTGTCTGATTTGTCATTGTGTTTTCTGACTTGTTAATTTGTTTTCGGATTTGTCGTTGTGTTTTCTGACTTGTTATTTTGTTTTCGAATTTGTCATTGTGTTTTCTGACTTGTTATAATGTTTTCTGAATTGTTGTTGTGTTTTCTGAATTATTTTGTTTTTTAGACTTGCATTTGCGTTTGTAATTTGTTATTTTGCTTTCAGAATTGTGATTTGTTTTGCACTTCTCAGCCACCGTAATATATATATTAGTGCTGTCAATCAATTAAAAAATTTAATTAATCACACATTTTTTCTGAAATTAATCATGATTAATCCCACCTAACATTAAAGTTTTTTAATATACTTTTATATTGCAATTATTTCACATTCTATATGTGAACATATACCAATACTACTGTCTCCATGAAATTGTCCCCCCCCCCCAAATATTTAGCCATTGACTATAGCCATTCAAAATTACAGTATAATTGAGAGCTATCAATTTTAACATTTAGTAGACTTTTAAAAAAATAACAATTTCTAATTTAAATGAACTCAAAACAATCTTAAACCCATTATAATAAATGTCATATTTAGCTACCTGTGCCCTTCAGCAAGTAGGCAATATACAGAAATGGAATAAAGCACTACTTTCTGCACTACTTGAAAAGCATTACTTTAAAGTTTTGGTTTTCTAAATTATTTTCTGTAGTAATCAACACACTAATAAACTATGACTTAAAAAAAACCTTCTTAATCTGAACAGGACACGCCCACACTCATGTTCAGCCGCCCCCATGTAGTGGAGCAAATACTCTTGTTTTAGTGTAAAATACTCACTCTGGAGAAGCCAGCAGAGAGAAGAGGAAGGACAGATGGTTCCTCCTGATCTGAGGGACTGGAAGAGAGAGAAAGATCAGTAGGTGGAACATGATGGACATCCGTAGCACATGGATAATAGATAAAAGTGTTCTCTGAGGTCTTACGTTTGTGGCATCACTGCTAAAATAACAGCGTGTTCAGAAGGCTTGGTTGCTCGAATCATCCTGTTTAAAAACACATACCATAACATAAAAGTAGGTTTTTACATTTTCTGATTTGGCAGTGAAATTGAGTATCTTGTACACATTTCTCTCCAAAAGACTCTCTCTCACATGCATAGACATCTACTGGGAAAAAATGATTTGGCAGCTTTGAGTATGTGTGTGCGCACATGGATTTAAGCTTCTGTGCAGGATGGGAAATTAACACCTGCAACCAGCCAAATGCAGGCCACTTCCTCCGCAGTGGAGAGTAATTTTACCTTATTTACCTGCCGGCCACTGTGGTGGGTAACCTGGTCTTAAAGATTCATATAAAAATGATTCTTATGAACTGATTCTTTTTAGTGGATCAAAAACATTTCGCTCCACCAGTGTTGCACGATTCCTGAAATGAATGAATCTTATGAGTCAGATCTTTTAACGGTTCAAAAAGGTTTGAAACTGGTTTCAATCAGTCTGAAACACTGCCCTTTATAATTTACATTCATAAAGTGCATTCTTTCATACACTACCATTCAGAAGTTTAGGGTTAGTAAGATTTTTTCATCTTTTTGAAAGTCTCTTATGCTCACCAATTCTGCATGTTTATTATTATCATTAATATAAATATAAAAATTTATATTAAACTTTTAAACAGTGGTGTAAGAAAAATGACATTACAATTATAAATACATTATAACTGCAATTTACCCAAATGAATCAGTGAACTTGTAAATCAAAATCAAAAAACATCGAGCATTTTAACAATGTTATTGAATATAACTGAATAGCACAAAACAGGCTTTTGTGGCCAAAAAAAAAAGTTCATTTCCCATCCTGCCTCTATGACAGCGCTAAAATTTCCATCTAACCTTGTATAAGAGATGAAGAGAAATGAGCGAGAGACAGATGATGGATGGTTTGGTTGTACCCACCGGCAGACGGCATCAGCCTCAAAGTACCGTGAGTGCCGGCCATCAATGATGACGATCTCGTGGTGTTTATCCAAGAAACACTCCACCGCAGACTCAGGTGTTCGTGCGATGTTACACCTGAACCCCGCCCGCTCACACGCCCACCAGAAGGCATCGCTCTGACTGTCCTCTTTAGCAAAGACCAGTAACACCTGAGCGAGACCGAGACGGAGAGAGAGTGAGGTGCTGTTGGTGGGTGCTTGTGAAAGGTCAACAGTCTTTCATCCCGTTCAGCGTTGTGTAACCATGGAGCTGCCATGTGAAATTCCACATGGCCCAGGTCGTTCAGGACGCCTGTCACCGCTACCTCGCTCAGGAGGCCCGCTGTGCAGCGTTACACGTCCACCTACAGGGGGCGGAGTGACCTCACCTGCTGGCACACTCATTTCAAACACATTTCTACTGACACGTTTTCACAAGTATCAGAAACGTGAAAAACTACAGATATATAGCACAGTCACCAAATCCAACAACGCAATGTAACAGGTTACTGAAATCTGTTCCCCCCTCTATTTCACACAGAATGACTTTAATGTAACCCAAATTCAGTCTGGTGATGTGTAACCTCCTCTATTTTATATCTTAGAAAGCATATTGCTCGGATTTGAACAGACAAGAGATACAGCAGGGTCATCAAATCAAAGTACTGTAACTTATTTCAGTAACCTGTAACGCCGTGTTGTCGGATTTGGCGTCTGGTGTATGTTTGCAGATGTTCAGATCAATATGCTTTCTAGATTATGAAACAAAGGAGATTAGACACCATCAGAGTGAATCTGGGTAACATTAAAGCAATTCTGTGTAAAATAAGAGGGGAGTAACAGATTTCGCTAACATGTAATAGTGTGTTGCCGGATTTAGTGACCTTGCTCTATATCAACAACTGCTCACATCAAATCAAAATGCTTTCTAGAGTTTGTAACATTAGTCAGCCCCAGAGTGATTTTGGGTAACATTAAAGCCACTGGGTGTGAAATAGAGGGAGGTAACTGATTTTGGTAACCTGTTATATTGCCTTGTCGGAATTGGTGAGCTTAGTTTATAGCAATATAACTTTTCAGGTTTATTATTGTTAAATTAAACTAAAATGAAAACATTTTCTTTAAAATATAAAAAATATTTTAAAGAAACTTAAAATTCAGGGCAACATTTCTCATTTTCGTTTAGTTTAATTTGAAGTACTAAAATAACTCAAACTAAACAAAATAAAACTAACACATAAAAATGATTAAAAACTACATAGACATTAAAACACACAAAAAAAGACAAAAATAATAGGCGATACTAAAATAACAATGTGTGTGTGGGTGGATTAAAGTCAATTAAATTTCAAACGACCCGAGAAATGACAGGTAATTAATTTGTAAATCTTGATTGATTTCCCCAGATACATCAGGCACATCGGACTCTGAAGAGAGTCAAACATTACATAACCAGCCTCGATTCACAGTGACTGACAAGCGGCAGCCAGCCATCAGGTTAACGATAAACACACTTTCTGTTTCATAATTCCACTTTTAGTGAACAATAATTCCCACTAATACGACACACTCATACACACACACATGCAAATGCACACACACTAGGTGTGACGAGACACTTATCCCACGAGACGAGACACGAGACTGGGTTCACGAGAACGAGACGAGACGAGATTTTTAGAGTTTTTTAAAGAAATCCTCAATGATGACATATATAGGGAAAAATATTATTTTATTCAACTGAAAAACACAAAATGCAAATTTTGAAATCAACTTGTACTTTATGAAAATAAACATCTATTTTAATACATTTTATGCAGTAAAAAACAACATGTAAACACTGCAAAATGTTTTGCCAAACTCAACTGACAGGCAAGTAATTGCACAAAAATTATAAATAGTATAAATAAAAATAAATAATAAACAACATAAATATCCCTTTAAAGTGGAAGTGAAGCAGTCAGTCAAGTTTACATTATTTAGTAAACTGATTTCCACTTTAATAAAATAATAAAAATAATAATACAAAATTAATAAAAAAATATAATAAACACGATTAATGTATCAATTTAAAAGAATAAAGCAGTGGTTGCCAAACTGGGGGGCGCGGAGAGGCTGAGGGATCATCATCATGTTCTGGAAATAAATCGTGAGACTTTTTGCCAAGATCGCGCGAGAGGTCACGGAAACCTTTCCAATGTAAGTTAAATATTAATAATAAGATATTACATATCATTTGGTGGTAAAACAAAGTGCTACACATTTTATTGCTGCAAAGATTAGTATATTTATTTTTGTACAACATTTGCAACTGCTTTTTATCACTTAATTAAATTGTGTCATCTATAGGGACTACTGAACAGACATTTAGAAGTTGATTTTAAAATGCAAAGTATTGAAAATAATAATAAAACTCTGTAAACACTTTGCGTTTTTACAACACTATAAGTGTGTCCCATCAGGTAATGAAAAGTTGTACACACACTTGTGGTCTTCATGCTCACTTGAACACTTGGTCCAAATACAGGAAATACGTCATATAAGTAGTCAAGTGGTCAAGTGCAAAGACCACAAGTGTGTGTATTTTGACAAGGCAACACACACACACACACAAACTCAGGATAATCTCTGTGTCAATCCTTTGAGACATCTCAAGATTATCCCTGGGGTCATGAGTCCATGTTAAGAGGTCTTTATGTGCATTCACTCATTGGCCATAATGTAGAAACAGGACAATGCAACAATGAATGACAGTAATGCATTATGATGTCACAGTATCACTCTATTGCTTTGCAGCCCATGTGAGATTAAAACATCACTAAAAAGAGACTTGTAGTGATGCACTATGATGTCACAGTGACATTCCACAATGCATTACTGCAGGGACTATGAGAAATCATAATGCATCACTAGCCTACGTGGTTTCATAATGACCTGCAATTAAGTATTAAATCCCACAATCTTTAAAATTTTAGTTACATGGAAATTTAATTTGTGTTTTTTAGATCAAGTCTTATGGGTTTGGAATGACATGAGGTTGAGTAAATGATTCAAAGACATAATTTCCATTTTTGGGTGAACTAACTCTTTAATGCAAACAAATTGCTGAAATCAAACCAAATCTCAGTGCTCACATGTTAAAAGTGATTAGAATCAGTAGATTCTGTAGGCATGAGGAGAAGCTAACACTTCTCTCGACTTGATTTTTGGCCATTGTCGAATCTCAAATTGGTCCAAATTTGGTAGATTAATTTAAATAAAGTCAAATAACTTATTCTTTTCATTTAAAGCAACTTATAGCACACTAATTACTCAAATCATTCACTTAAAGCAACCAGAGGTTTAGTGCCTCGCACAGTGATAACATGGATACAAACTCAGTAATTAGCCAATTAAACGTGCACCTTTCATTTACTCGGCCCAGATCATTAATCAGATCAAAGCCAACCAGACACACACTTAAAAAGTCAATAAATACACTACCATTCAAAAGTTTGGGCTCAGAAAGATTTAAAAAAAAATAATAATTATGCTTTTATTCAGCAAGTACACATTAAATTGATCAAAACTGACAGTAAGGACATTTATAATAGTAACTGAAATAAAATATTGATATTTCAAATACCTGTGTATTACAGTTTCCACAAAAAATAAAGCAGCAGAACTGTTTTCAACACTGAAAATAAAAATCTTTTTTAAAACGGCAAATCAGCAATTAGAATGATTTCTGAAAGATAATGTTACACTGAAGACTGGAGTAATTATGCTGAAAATTCAGTTTTGCATCACAAGAATACATTTCATTTTAAAGTATATTCAAATAAAAAAATGTTATTTTAAATTGTAATAATATTTCACAATATTACTGTATTTTCGATCAAATAAATGCAGCCTTGGTGAGCATAAGAGACTTCAAAATCCAAAATATAAAAAATCGTACCGACTCCAAACTTTCGAAGCTACAAATTCAAACATACACATAATGACTAAACAGGACTGTACCTGAATGGGCTCCTGGGTCAGTCGCATTGGCCCCAAACGCTCTTCTGCTGCAGACACCTGCGAGTGATCAAGAGAAACAGGTATGTTTCATTGAAATGAGGTTAAAAAAGGAAACAAAAGCAAGAATGCATCTGGTCTTACCATCTCAGAGCCTTGAAGCAACATTCTGACATGCCTGTCCTGATTTTAATCACATACTGTTTGTACATGTGCTTGTATGTCCACGAATACAACCATTTACGCAAACTAAACAAGACAAACAAAATTAGTCCACCGAAGAAATAGCTGAATTAATGATGGAAAATGTAGCCATCCTGATCAGCACGAACTCCAATCCAAGTGTGTTATTCAGCTGATTTAAACAGGATTATCCATATTTCTACTGTCAAATTGTTTTAAACGCCGTTTTAACAGTTCGAACGCTTCGTCAGATATGACACACATTGCAAAAAAAGGCTGTTTTTTACGGAGTTGTCCAAATGGTACAGCAACATTGTTGCAATGACAGAGCAGGTGGCTCAAAGCTTCCTGCGTCATCCACACTAACACTACACATAAGCCTCTCAGCAAGAATCACACACACACACACACAAACACACATGCACAAAAAGCCTTCAGGCTAAATACGGATCATAATCACTATAAAAGCAGCATATGTAATGCACATTTAATTTTGCCAAGACAAAAGAGATGCGTAAAGATATTTAGATGCACTGCACGGTCTTGTTTTCCAGTAAAAAGATATAAACATTAAAATAAAATAAAATCAATTTACTTGAGAAGCAACTCTCTCTTGCTCTTGTGTAAATAGCACAGCATGAATTTGCTTTGGTCATCTGCCTGTTTTATGTACACTGAGTCTCGTCCTGCTGGGAGACGGCATCACAGTATGGTAAGGGCGTAACATTTCCGTCACACACTTGAGGCATTCGGCCAATCACAATGCACTGGATAGCTGGCCAATCAGAGCACACATCGCTTTTTTAGAACGATGAGTGTTGTAAAAATCGAGGTGTTTCAGAAAGGTGAGCCATAGAGGAGAAACAATAATGTACATTATATGGAAAATAATGTGTTTTTTGAACCTTAAACCGTATAAACACATTGCATTACACCAAATACACAACATAATGTTCTTTTTAGCAACGTTATATGACCCCTTTAACAAAAATATGTATTTTCATGATCCAAAAAACAAACAAACAAAAAAACACCAACAACAACAACATGGTATTACCATGGTAATGTGTCCAAAACAATGGCATTTCCATGGCAGCATGTCCAAAAAGCCATGGTATTGCCACTGGTAAAGAGCGTTTTAAAAAATGGCACTGCAGGCAATCTATAACAGCATTAAAAGGGTAATTTTATAAATGTGATCATTTTATTTTTTCCCTGAGGTCCACTTATAATATTATTATATACATTCACCCTTCAGTTTAACTGATTAGTTTTAACCAAATTATTATTATTATTATAATATATTTTTTATAGATATACTTCTATTTCATTTATCATGGTCTTTGTTTGTTTTTTCTGTTGCAAAGCTGATTGTTTGTCTGTGTTGTTCTGTATATTAAACAATGTCAAAATAATAAAAAATTTATAAAAAAATAAAATAATAATAATATAATATGACACAAAATATTACAATACAGTAAACTTTTTAAATTACATAATTTAATATTATTAATTAGAATAATATGAGTTTTTTGCACAAAAAAGTGTCTATTGAGCTCTGAAAGTTACACCATGGAAAAATCTGATTTTTCATACTAGGACCCCTTTAAAACTGAGAATCAGAAGAGAGAGTCAGCATCAACAATGCTGTTATTTTCCAGTCAAAGGCCATTACTAAAACCACTGTTACACAAGACTCATGTTTTCTCAATAACAATTACAAAAAAAAGTAGAGAGAACATTTTGCCACTGGAAATTCAATAACATATTTAATCCTGTGTTAAAGTGCATTTTTATTAAAATATTGAAATTGAAAACTCATCCTGAAAAATGCATCCTCTGCAACTCTCTCAAAACATGCTTAGAAAGTTCAGCTTATATATACAAACACTTCTGTTACATTTTCATAAATTTTCCCAACCAAATCTTTTTCTCATCCTTTGCTCTTCTTCTCTAACTCCCTACCCCATGCTTGAGGTTTCTCAGTTCTTGGCACTGACGTTAGATCTCATTTCCTAGAAAGTGACACACACACACACACACACACACACACACACGCTGGTATGGTTTACAGGGACTCTCCATAGGCGTAATGGTTTTTATATTGTACACTGTATTTCCTATCACAGGAAGTGTCCTCATAAGTCATATTCACGCTGTAATACCCATGTCATTATACACATTTGTGTCCTCATGAACCATATAAACCTGTACACACACACATACACAGAGCAACTAAAGCTTGAGTTTTAAGTCCACAAAAATACTAAATTAGCTAAATCTACCATGCAGAATTTACTGTGACTCTTCACATATAACCTAACAGCTGCTGTCAGATTGAATATTATAGGTGATTTGCATAAGTTCTGCACCAATAACTGCATCAAATAGAATTGACCCTTTGCAAAGACCCGTCCCCCTTCGTTACTGTTGCTACGTCCGACAAGCCACGGCGCTCTCACGCCACACATTATGTTCTCATGCAGTGAAAAATACATCGCATAAAAAAGGAAACTGACAACGAGCCCACATACAAGACAGAGCAGGTTACTTTATGTATGAAACAAAGTCTCAGCTTTCAAATTTAGTCTTTTTTTTTTTAGGAAATTCAAACAATAAATACCGTTTTGTGGCTCTTTAATGTCACATGACAGATCACTGTAGCGCCTCAGTTCAAGCGGCACATGAATCGATCATCTCATCCTCTTTACTAGTTATAGCACGAAATAAACATGAATGAACATCAGAAGGATTCTTGTTTCAACTGCGGAAAGACATCTATACACACCGTTTTTTAAGTCCATCAACATTAATCTACTCTCCTGTCTGGTTTGTTTGAGGGACAAAATGGCAGATTCTGTGTTATGATTGGTCAGATCGCCTGTCAATCAAACTCCCGGTGAAAAGTCAATTTCAACAATTTACAAAAAAAAAAAAAAGAAAAGAAAAATAAAACCTTCTATGATTGTCAAGGTGTTGCTAGGCAGTTGCTAGGGTATCCCTAGCCTAAAAGGTCTATGGGATTTTTCTTCCCATTTTATTATCTACCAGGGAAAAAAATCATTTATAGCAATCTGATCAAGTAATAGCACACATTTACTATGACTTCATGTTTGTACCGTGGAGGAAAAATGACACGTCTGAAGTCTAAAAACAGGTTTCCCAAACACTCCTGTCAGGTCATCCTGTCCCAAACTCACATCACTGGATGAACCAGAAGTTGGCCACAGTGTTGTAAAAATACCACAGAACCACACTGTTTACACTCATTAGATATGAACCTGCCAATGGTTTACTTTAAGTTGCCTCTGCACATTAAACTGAGGTAGAATATTTACATATACATGACACACTTCACCTTTAGGAAATGATGTCATGGGGAAGTCATGGCCTAATGGTTAAAGAGTCGGACTCGTAACCCAAAGATTGCGGGTTCGAGTCTCGTACCGGCAGGGATTGTAGGTGGGGGGAGTGAATGTACATTGCTCTCTCCCACCTTCAATTCAGTACCACGACTGAGGTGACCTTGAGTAAGGCACCGAACCCCCAACTGCTCCCCGGGCACCGCAGCAAAAATGGCTGCCCACTGCTCCGGGTGTGTGTTCACGGTGTGTGTGTGTGTGTGTGTGTTCACTGCTGTGTGTGTGCACTTTGGATGGGATAAATGCAGCTCCTGTATTTTCAAGCATCTCTTTCTCTCGTGGTGTGTTCCTCTTCCCAGCACACTGAGTGTGTTTTGACTCAGTCATGTGCTTTTATCGAGGACAACAAACACACACACACAGAAACATAAAACCACATGAAGAACAAAGGCCTTCCTTCACAGAGTACTGGGTCACGATAAAATATGATCCCTGCTATATTTAGAACCCCACAATTGACAGTAGGCAAGTGAAAGCGCTGCGGCTGTATTGATTCAGATTTGCTTATCACATTACATAAGATATCATCTAGTGTTTCTGTCCAGTTAACTCCTGGATGACCTGGAGATGCTAGAATCAAAGCACATTCTCATGCAAACATGGTCATGGTTGATTTTTTCCCTAAATATTTATCCAAATATAAATATACACACACACACATATATATATATATATATAAAAGCACACACACACATATATATATATATATATATATATATACATATACATACATGCATACATATATACAATACCAGTCAAAAGTTTGGGATCAGAATGATTTTTAATGTTTTTTACAGGAGTTTCTTATGCTCATCAAGGCTGCATTTATTTGTTCAAAAATACAGGGAAAAAAAATTATATTGTGAAATATTATGATGATGTAAAATAAAGTTTTTTTTTATTTTAATATACATTAAAATCTAATTTATTCCTGTGATGCAAAGCTGAATTTTCAGCATCATTACTCCAGCCTTCAGTGTCACATGATCCTTCAGAAATCATTCTAATATGCTGATTTATTATCAGTGCTGGAAACTGTTGTGCTGCTTAATATTTTTTTAAGCAGCACCACATGAACTAATATAAAATATAAACGATTAACAGGAGCAAGTGTATGCAGAGTTTCTATTTAGGCTATAACACGTGTTTGAAGCATTGAGCAATGCAGTGCTGAAATTTGCGTGCTCAAGAATCCTCTCATTATAACACATGAATTGTAGGCATTATGAAAGATTCATTATGCATATATTTATTGTGTTATAACAGAGATTTGTGAGATTGCGATGAACTGAGGTGTCTTTTAGAGATTATAAATGCAGCTCTTTGCTGGCATTCTCCCATGCCAAACCATGCACACAGCAGCCGCTTGCTTTAGTTAAAAAGAACAGTGTTCTGTGAATGTTGATGCTTTAATAACAAATATTTATCGGGAGCATGTATGCTGGGATTTCATGA